ATGGGCAAGAGCAAAAACTCCATGACTTTAGCCCTGGGGAGATATCACAGGAGGATTCTCTCCAGACGCCACTCTGCTCTACACCAAGGGCCTGTCCTCACAGCAGGCACACTTGTACAGGCCCTGGGGTGCCAGTCAGCTCTACCATCCCCCTTACTCCTGGTCAGTGTGTTTTCTACCTCATCTTCACATGGGGAAAAGGCTTGGCCTAGACACCAAATGCCCGCCTATCATATGATGCCGGAGAGTGTACCCTGGGGCCTGACACCACCCTCCCTTGAGCTTCTCAGCTAGAGGCAGTACAGCGACCTCTGCCGACTTCCCACCTCTCTCCCCCAGCTGAGAGTGAAGTGCCTTAGCCCTCAGTGAGGCCTGCTCTTAAAACCGCTCGCCTGGCCCAGTACACATCACCTTCTTCAGGCCCCTCCACACCTGTGGGCTCATCCTCCCCTTAGGTCTCCCATGGAAGAGCTGTACCTGAGGGTTCGGGGGAAATGCATTCTTCAGCTCAGGGGACAAGCCCTTGCATTTTGGCCTAGCATCTGCCCAGCAAGAAAGGGAGGAGTTCCCTTGTCGCCCCATAATTGTTGAGGTGTCTCATGGAAGCGTGCTTGGGGCGATGATAGCCCAGCGGGAATAAGGGACCACAGCTTGGCTTCTCTTCCCCTCCTGCCCCTAGCCAGCTCTAGGACCATCTAGCAGACTGTCTGTGGTGACCCCTTTTGAGAAGCAACTAAGAGGCCTTTGATGGAGGGCTTGACTAGCTAACCCACCCCAAACGGAGCAAGTTCTGACCTTGAAAATGGGGCTGCGCCCCCACCTGTCCCCACACGCCTCTTCCCCTGGCCCCTTTCTCCCTCAGACCTCTCACTGTTTCAGGCTATGTTCATTCCAAGACCTCATAGCCTCATGCCTCCGTCACAATTCCGTGACCACTTTCAGAGAGACCTCCCTTCCCAGTCGCTCCTAGTGCCAAGCACTTGGTTTTCCTTCTTGTCTATCTACACTCCTTGAGGACAGGGCCTCTGGTAGACCCAACAACAGGCAAGAGGGTGGCACTTCTGCCCATCACCTCTGCATACTCCACTCCATCCCCCCACCCTTTCACTATCAAATCGGATTTGGGGGAGGGTGGCAGCTTTCTAAATGGATAAGGCTGTCTTCCTCCCTTTACCCTTGTCCAGTTTCCTGACTGCCTCAGCAAAAGCCATTTGTGTCAGAGGCGGCATCCTTGTTCACCAGACCCTCACCACACCACAGGCGGGGATGTCTCAGAAAGACTGCAGCAGTCTGAACAGGTTTCCTTCAGCATTCTCCAGGGGCCTTGGGCCAGCATCCGCTTCTCTTCTCCCTCAGTCCATCGGGTCACTTGGACCGCCATCCTCCTCTTGGCCCCGCCCCATCACACGCTCAGGACACGCCCCTTCCCAGCCCCCAGCAGAGCTAGTACTGGCCAACAAGGTACCCAGGAAGATGGGGTCCCTGGGTTCTGGCGCCTGAGGACCCACAAACCATTCCCTGCAACAAGTCCGTGCACTCAAGGTGGCTCGCAGCCGACCTCCGGCAGCCCCTGTATTGCCGGTGCAAGCTTCCGAGGCACTGTAGCCTCGTCAGGCACATCCTCCGTGTATCCCTGTTTGAGGACAGGGACTCTACAGAAAGAAAGCACGGTTCCCGGGCTGGCTCCGGGTTTTTTACTCGGACTGTTCAGGCTTGGAGAACAATGGAGCAGCTCTCCAGCTTCCTCCACCGAGGAAGCTTTGTTCCTCCCTTCCCGCCAGCTTGGCTTTCATTAGCCAAAGGGCAAAGGCTTCTAGGGAGTCTCCGCGCAAAAGCCCAGACCTTCCCCTAAAACACTTAGGGGGATGGGAGTGGTGGTTGCTTGGGGCTGAGGAAAAGGACGCATCCAGATGCACGCAGCTGGCTGCCCGCCCGCCTCCCTGGCCCCAGACACTTCTTGTTGCCAGGTCCCCCACACCCGGGAAATCCGATTCAAGCTCCCACCCGGGATTCACAGAGGAAGTGGAGCCTCAGCTCTGCTCCAAGGACCAACTGGACCTCACATCTGCTCTCCGTACGTCTGTGCTCTAGATCTGGGCCCTTACCAATGCTCTCCTAGCAATTCTGGATGCTGTATTATCCAGCGCGGACCACTCCTCAGCCAGTGTCTCTACCAACCTCCCTGTGCTTTGCCATATTAGGACTCTGGACTTGAAAATTCAGGGGAGCTAATGGTTTCTGAGAACCTAAGTCCTCCTGCCCCCATTGTCCACCCTCACCTCCGACAGGCTCCTATCAGCGACATCTTTAAGACAAGCATTAGTCAGACACAGCTGGAGGTAGGCCAGCTCTGCACATCTGGGCAGAAATGCCCCTCCGAACCTGGCCAGTGGTCAGTGTAAGAGGGAAAGGGAGGAAGCTTTGCTTTCCCCACCTCTCCTAGCAGCGAGCGGGCCAGGAGAAAACCAGGGGCGGGGTGGGGCGGGGCAGCCAGACTTACCCAGCATCTGGCTGAAGAGCAGCTGCTCCAGGTCGCCCAGCACGGTAACCACGAGCTCGGGGTCCACCTTGAGGAAGGCCCGCTCCTCCTGGCCTTTGGCTGAGGGCACGGTCCCTGAGCTCTTTTGCGCCTTAGCCTTGCTGGAAAGCAGCTCATCATCCGATTTGCCATCGTCGCTCACGGCTGCCTCAGGCGCCTTGCTGAGAGGTTTGACCTCCGCATAGGGTCCGCGAGGAATCCGGCTGGGTTTGCCTAGGCTGGGCGCTAGTGGAGCCAGTGGGGTCTTGGCGCCGCCCGCAGGGCCTCCTTTGGGCTGGAAGAGCGAATGCTCTGATTTGGACAGTGTCTTGGACATTAGAGGAGCCTCTCGGCCCTTGGGCCCCAATTTGCCCAAACCCTTGGGTGCCTTGGCCATATCATCGCTCCACTCAGGTTCATACAGCTGCAGCTTTTTCTCGGAGTCCGTGAGAAACGAGAGGTTGGTGAGCGACTTCTGTTTGCGCAGGTTGGAGGTCGGCGGCCCACCGGGGACACGGCTGTCCACGCTGCCGGACTTGAAGACCTTCAGCTCAGCTGCGCTGGCCTTGGCCATACTGCAACTGCCGCCCGCCGCCGCCTTGGCGCGCTTGGGCAGCATGCCTCTGCCGTCCGCCGCGGCCGCCTTTCTGCTGGCTCCCCGAGGCTCGTCCGCGCCCTCGTCGCCGCCGCTGCCGCTGCCGCCGCTCAGCTCCACCTCGGGCTGCACGCTTTTGACGCTGCTGCCCAGCATTCTGCCTGCCAGGAGCGCATGGACGATCCGCGCGTCTGCAGGCACGGGGCGGGGGAAGGAGGCGGGAGCGAGAGGAGGGGGCGGAGAGGGGGGCAGACGGAAGAAACCGCGGAGGAAGGGGAGAGGAAGGGGAGAGGAAGGGGAGGGAACAGGGGGCGAGAGGAGGGCGAAGGGGGAAAGAAATGCAGGAAAGGACAGGGAAAGAAGCCCGGGAAGAGGAAAAGGCGAGGAAATAGCGGGCGATGGGGGCGGGATCGAAGGAAAAGGGGCGGGGCAGGGGGAATATAAATTAAAAAATGTAAATCAGTCAAAGGAAGGATGGGAGCCCGGAGGCTCCATCGAAGCGGGGACGTGCTGTGATGCTGGGATCTCGTCTAGGTCTCCGGGTGGCCCGATTTGTGCGAGGGCCGCGCACTCCGGGGCAGCGCCCTCACTACACTCCTCCTTCCAGCTCGTGAAGCGACTGCAGGCTGCAGCTCCAGGCGAAGAAGGGGAGGGGGAAGGCGAGGAGCAAACAGGAGGAGGGGTGGAGTGTGTGCAAGGGGAGGGAGGTAGGGGAGAGAGTGTGTCTATTTCTGGCTCGGGAGGGGGAGGTGTCTGTGAGCTGAGCCCTGGGGGCACAGAAAGGATCCCACCAGTTTTTCTTCTTGCTTTCTGCAGAGAGATGAGATATATGGTTCCCTAATGCATCTGGGAAAATGTATCTGTGGAGGAGATTAGAGGTACAGGTGAAGGTACTGAGAAAGGGTAACTGTGGACACAGGAGAAAGTTGCCCTGTAGGGTCTGGGGTAGAAACCAGTAGACCCTGTGGTTCCCACACACCACCTTTAGTTTTCCCCAAGGAAACTCTCTTGCTACCTTCGGTACTGTAGGGTACACTTTGCCCTGAGGTAAGCCCAGAAGGTAAGGGACACAGTACAAGACAGGGTGGTTCAAACAGATTCCAGGGTTGACAGAGAAGAGGGGCTGGGATGTAAAAGGAAGGGGCAAACCCTTAGAGCAAGAATCTGAGTTCCCATTCCACTTGATCACATGACCTTGTCAAAGTCATTGAAGCTCTCTGGCTGTCGGTCGCTCCTATTGAAGCTCTCTTGCTGTCTGTCGCTCCTACAGGGGTTTATAATACTAGCTTCATAGGTAACGGGGCTTTGGAAACCTAAGGACTCAGAAGAGACTTAGCATCCATCCTTTAGCAGAGACAGAACCAATGAAAAAGATCCTGGATATGTCCATCCCATCAGTGTAGCTCTCCAAGTGCCATACTTGTCCAGAGGAGGTGTTAATGGTTAAAGGGCTCTGAGGCCTGAATGGGGAACACCAGGTACTGACCAGAGCCCAGGATACTCTCCTTCATCCCAGGATAACTTTCTCCATCCCAGGGCTGGATTGAGAGTCTTTCTAGGACAGGGATTGGAGCAGAGAGACCATGTCTAGCACCGTGCTGAGAATGGAGGTTACTGGGCAGAGACGTGTTTGACAAGGGCAGTGGACTTTCAGCTGGCCTTAGAGATCCAAAGAAAGATGGAAATCCTGGCCTCCAGGAAATACAAGGCAGACAACTCAGGACTTGGGGAAATAACTTTGTCCCTGTGAAAATGAAGTGTCACACACGTTTTTCTCAGGAAGGCAGGCATGGGTGTGCGTTCTAATTACAGGGATGACAAGAGGCAATGCCTCCAAGGAGCGAGGGAAGAGAGCTGGGTGCAGAGATTGGCCAGGCAACCAGTGATCAGAGGCCCTAAGTCCAGATCTTAGGAAGCTCAGAGGTAGAGTCAAGACTGTGAGTTCATGTAGGAAACCAACAATTTGAAGCTGGCCAAAGGACTGTTGAGTAGCATCCCTGTAGAACATGACCAGGTATAGAGGTGGACACAGGACACACAAATCCTCAAGCTTCTACCTGGAATAAGCTCCTAGTTCAAGCAAGAGAGAGAGTGTCTCTGATCCCACAGACTACTTGTAACAGTGTCACAAACAACTGGAACTTGAGATCCTCCTGCCTCAACCCTCTGAGTGCTTGGATCGTAGATACGCCAGTTTTTATTCTTATCCATTTGTCATTCTGTAATTTAATCAAGATTTCCCGGATTCAAACACATGGGAATGTTACTTTCTCTAGAAATTGCAATTTGGGAAAGCATACCTGTGGACTGATTTACCCAGTTCTCAGTTGTTGTTGATATTTTTCCCCTGCATATAAATTCATCTCCGTCTTAGCTAACAAAATTGAGCAATACTATATCCATCTACTGATGTCTACTGCTGCAGCCCAAATGCCTGGCTTACCCTGAGCCCTCATCTCTGGTGTGGTATCTGTAGTGCAGCCTTCAGCATTTCATGAAACCCTAGTTCACGTGTGGTTCTGTCCACCTGCGTTTCCTTTGCTCCGGATGCCTCCTGCCCCCGGGACCTGACCTTCCTTCCGCCATGGTTGTCTCATTCCCTCATTTGATATTTGGTGTGTTAGCTTAGTTCTTCCTCTTCTCTGTATCCTCTTTGTTCCTCTGTGTCTTCTCTCATGGGATAGCTTATTTCCCAAATCTCAAGTCCCTTTTCCTCCTTCAATAAACAGCCCCTGAAATTCTGCTTCTCTTTAGAAGAAGACAGCGCACCAAAGGAAAGGTCGCTCCTTCAAATTTTGGTTAAAACCTGTTCTTTTTTTTTAAAATTTATTTATTTATTAAGGATTTCTGCCTCCTCCCCGCCACTAAAACCTGTTCTTATCAGAAGAGAGGCAGTGCCCCTTCCTACCCTCTAAGTCTGGATCCCTCTCCCTCCCACACAGCACATCACCTGTCGGTTTCTGAGAAGTAAAATACTATCTATGCACGATGTCGTGAATTAACTCACTGCCAGTCCCCCTCCCATCTTTAAAGGGTCTTTTGCCATGGCCAGGTGGTAGTCCCTTTAAACATTAGCTTGGCATCTTGGAATACCCAAGGCTCCCTAGTACCACCTCTACCTCTCTCACTCTTTTTTATTCTTTTCACATCCCCTGAGTCCAACCATCCTCTTCTGTAGTGAGAATACTCTGCTGCCGTGGCAACAGCCATTCTGGCATCCGTCGATAAAGCGGAGACGTACAGAGCCTTTCCTACAGTGATTCCTGAAAAGAGGGAGTTCTGCCATGTCATACCATCCCCAAGATCAACCCTGAGCCCCTCCTACTCAGCCATTTCCTCCTTTGCTACCCTGCAAAAATGCCGGGGCTCAAGTGGTTCACTGCTTAGAGACCAGTGATCATCTAGGGATGGCAAGATGAGGGAGAGAGTGGGCTGGGCAGACGGAGGGTGCTAATGATGTCAGTAACCTTCTGTGAGGTCTGGCTCCTGTCAGTTCTTACTGGAGAGGTGGGGAAAGAGGCCGGTTTGGAATCATTTATATCTTCAGTTGCTCGAGCTCCTAAAACAAACAAACAACCCCACTTCTGCCAGTTTCTGTACTGGAAATAGGTTGTGTAATTTGACCATATTTGTTGACTAATATCTTGAGGCGATTTGAGGAATGAAGATGTAGGCACTGGGCCAGGGAAAGACATGCTGGGGGACTTTACGTTCTCACATCTCCCCCATGACTGGAAATAATGTAACCCAGGGTGAGGGGGCGGTGGTCTGGGGCTCTGCCTGGTGGGGTAGTGTTAGCTGGAGGAAAGGCAGAAGAAGACAGATGAAGGTAGAAATGAGAGCTAGACTGTTCCTGCCCTGATGACCTTGAAAGGTAACCTTGGGATAAGGGACTGTGCGAGAGAGAGGAGTGGGCAGAGGAGTTCACACTTTGCTCCCCACATAGCACAGGACAGAGTTTGGGGGGCATCACTCTTGTTTTTGTGCCCACAGTCAGGATCCGGGGAACAAGACACAACCATGTGACTGCAAGGCTAGCCTACCCATCCTGGGCTAGTGCTGGGGCTGCCATCAACCCCAAAGAGTAGTGACAAGCTAAAAGCTTTCTGGGCTCATCCTCCTGTGACGAACCTTCTTGCCACTTCCCCGAAAAGATTCTGACACCCCCATCTCTCTCTATAGAATGTCCATTATCTGTTGCTCCCCCCAACTTCATTCTACCAGGTCATTTCCCTATGTCACTCTGCCCCTCAGTGGGGACTTCAGGATGTGAGCAAGGCCATGCTAGGTGCTGTGGAAATAGCTGATGTTTAAACACCAAGTCTCTAGAAAGCCCCCCCCCCACACACACACACACTCATTGCTCATAATGGGTCAGGTCAGCTGGGATAGAAGCTGGGGGATTTAGCAGAACACAAACTAAAACACGCACGTCCTTGTGGAGTTTATATTCAAATGGGAAAGATAGCAAATTAGCTAGAGATACCAGCTACGTGAAAGCACTAAGGAGGGGCCAGCAAGATAGCTCAGTGGCTAAGCAAACTTGCCACTAAGCTTAACAACCTTGGTTCCATTCCCAGAACCCACATGGCAGAGCTGACTCCTGAAAGTTGTCCTCTGAGCTCCCACAGACAAAAGAAATATTTAAAAAAATGTGAAGGGGAAAAAATGGAAATAAAAATTCCTGGTATATTTGAAAGACAACGAGGAAGATAAAAGGTTGGAGAGAAGACGGGAGGGAAGCTGCAGGAAGTGGATGAGAGATATAAGGGCAGGCGTGGCATGGAGGGCCTTGTAGGTCCTCATATAAGGGACTGGTTACTTGGAATAACACTGGCAGGTCAGGGAGAGACCTGCCTTTCCCTGGGGAAAGATCCTTTGAGTCTTAGGTGGAAGCACATTTTTGGGGTCATTGGCTAAAGTGGTGAATCCAGTGGAAAGATGATGGCGGTGAGGGGGTGGCCATGAGAAATGGTCAGTCATGGTATACACTGGAGCCCTTAGAACTCGCTCTTTGGCTAAATATGGGTATGTGGGAGAGAAAGGGATCAAGGCTATTTCCCCCAATGTTTTTGGCCCGTACAACTCTTGGATGTCTCTATTTTTCTTTGTTTTGGTTTTGGTTTGTTTGGTTTTTGTTTTTCAAGACACAGGCTTTCTCTGTGTAGTCCTAGCTGTCCTGGAACTCGCT